GAGAGAGAGAGAGAGAGAGAGAGAGAGAGAGAGATTAAAAAAAACAAAACATCATTGATGAGAGAGAATCACTGGTTGACTGCCTTCTGCACACCCCTACTAGGGATCAAGCCCACAACCCAGGCATGTGTTCTTAATCAGAATCAAACCTGGGATGCTTCAGTTTGTAGGCTGATGCTATATTCATTGAGCCAAACAGGCTAGGGCTATGACTATTATTTTTTTTAAATCATAAAAAATAACAAGTGTTACAGATGACTGGGGAAAATGAACCCTTTGGAGCTGCTGGTGAGAATGTAAAATGATGCAGCTCGTGTAAAAAAACAATATTGTGGTTCCTCAAAAAATTAAACAGAATTACCATGCAATCAAGAAATTCCACCTCTGGGTATATACATAGAAGAATTGAAAGCAGGCACCTGAAGCAATATTTCTATACCAATATGCATAGGAGCATTACTCACAGTAGCTAAAAGGTAGAAGTAAGCCAAGTGTCCATGGGCAGATGAATGGATAAACAGAATGTTTTATGTACCTACCGTAGAATATTACTCTGCCTTAAAAAGGAAGGAAATTCTGATACATGTTGCAACATGGATAAACTTTAAAAACATGCAAAGTGAAAGAAGCCAAATATTCTATGATTTCACTCCCCTGAACTGTCTAGAAGAGACAGAAAGTAGATTAGAGATTAACAGGGGCTGGAGTCCAGGAGTGGTTATGGGGAACCATTTAATAGATACATAGTTTCTGTTTGGAGTGATGAAGAAATCTATAATAATAAAAACATAATATGCTAATTAGGCTGGACAGCCAAACAGTCTTCCGGACATCATTCCAAATGTCCTTCTGGACGAAGCCATGGAGGCAGGGGCCAAGACAGAGGTGGTTAGGGATGATCAGGCAGGCAGGTGAGTGGTCAGGAGTGATCAGGCAGACAGGCAGAGGCAGTTGGGGGAAATCAGGCAGGCAGAGTGGTTAGGGGCAATCAAGCAGGCAGGCAGCAGTTAGAGGCATCAGGCAGGCAGGCAGAGGGGTTAGGGTCATCAGGCAGGCAGAGTGGTTAGGTGTGATCAGGCAAGCAGTTAGGGACCATCAGGCAGGCAAGTGAGCAGTTAGGAGCATCAGGCTGGCAGATGGGTTAGGGGTGATCAGGCAATCAGGCAGAGTGGTTAAGGGAGATCAGGCAGCCAGGCCAGCAATTAGGAGCCAGCAGTCCCAGACTGTGAGAGGGTGCAGGCCACGCTGAGGAAATTCCCAATCCCTGTGCATGAATTTTGTGCACCAGGTCTCTAGTTTAGAGATAATGGTTCTACAACATCGTGACTCTAATTATTGTCACTGAATTATACACCTAAAACTTGTTAAAATGGCAAATTGTATGTCATACATATTTTCCCCACAATAACAAGTAATATTAAGACATTATCTTGCCTGGGCCAGTGCAGGTCAGTTGGTTGGGCATCATCCCATGCACTGAGAGGTTGCCGGTTTGATTTCTGGTTGGGAACATGCAAGAGGCAGCCAATCAGTGTTATGCTCTCACATCAATATTTCTCTCTCCCCCCCCTCCCTCTCCCTCTCCCTCTCCCTATCCCTCTCCCTCTTCCTTTCCTTCCCGCTTCTCTAAAAAGTAATAAAAATATTTTTTAAGCATTATTTTAAAGTCTATATCTGTGTAAGCAAGATATTGCAATTCAAATGTGATGGGGCAGAACCCAGCCGCCCTCTGTGGTGGGCAGTCCTCCTGTCAGGGGCTTTGCTGGGCTCACACTGGGCCTCCTAAGCCAGGCTCATCCTGGAGGCACCCCCAAGGCGCTGCCGTTCTGCAGCTGATGGCCGGCCGCCTCAGACCCTCGCTGGGGGATGATGTACCTCACCATTCTGAACTTGAACTGACTTCCCCACTGACTGCACCTTGGATGTTGCAGAGTGTTGTGAGGAGTTCCTGAGAGGATGTGAGGCATTTACCATAGTTTTTAAAATATATTTTTATTGATTTCAGAGAAGAAGAGAGAGAGAGAGAGAGGAGAGAAGGAGGGGGGCAGAAAGAGAAAGAGAGAGAGAGAGAGAGAGAGAGAGGAGAGATATCAATGATGAGAGAGAATCATTGATTGGTAGCCTCCTGCACATCCTCCACTGGGGATCAAGCCCGAAACCCAGGCCTGTGCTCTCCACCAGAATCGAACCTGGAACATTCAGTCCATAGACGCCGGAGACGGCCCTTGAAGTGACTGAGGCCCAGGGGTCACAGCCAAAGGCCCGCTTAGAACAACAAGAGAAGACCGACTTCCCGGAGGCAGGGAGCCAGCCCTGAGGAGCACTAACGCGTCCAGCTCAGACAAATCAACAGGCCCGGCTGGACCGGGTCAGGGGTGGCTCAGCTTTCAGGGGAGGGGCCCCTGCGGGAGTGAAGGTCAAGTTCTGAACTGCTGGCCGCAGAACCCATTCTGGAAGATACAAGCAAAAAAATGCTTTATCACCCTAGCCGGTGTTGCTCAGTGGATAGAGCATCGGCCTGCGGAATGAAGGGTCTTGGGTTTGATTCAGTGAAGGGCACATGCCCAGGTTGAGGGCTCAATCCCTAGTGTAGGGCCTTCAGGACACAGCCAATCAATGATTCTCTCTCACCACTCATGTTTCTCTCTCTCCCTCTCCCTTCCTCTCTGAAATCAATAAAAATATAGTAGTATATATTTAAAAAATCATTTATTCATGCATTTCTGGAAACGTGGAGAAAAGCTGGAGCAATTGGTTTGACAAATAGACAAGAATGCGAGAAGCTGAGGGAGAAACGAGCCAGGGTCACTCCACAAAGCCAGACCTGCGGGACCCTGCTGCCACCACCGAGCCAGCAGAGCCCGGCAGCCCGGAGCCCGGCCAGGCGGAGCCTCTGGCCTCGGCACACCGGCTGCTGCCACTGCCCCGCCCACCCGGACAGAATGCCCCCCCTGGTCAGCCTGGCAGCAGCTCCATACTCGAGCCTGGGCCTCCGCCTGATGGGCGAGCCTGGGCCCCGGCCAGACCCCAGAGGCAGGAGGCAGGAGGCAGGCAGTCCTAGCATCTCCCCCAGGAGGCAGAGGTGACGTTCATCAGACGCCTGGGAGGAGATTCCCCACAGAAACCAGGGAGGTGCAGAGGCTGGTAGCCCACCTGCCAGCTCAGAACCGGGAGACCAGCGGCCAGGCAGAAGTGTTGATGTAAGAAAGAGAAGGCAGGCTCACCCAGGGCACTGGCTCTGGGGTGGGGGGGACCTCAGGCTCCTATGAGGACCAGCTGTGGGGCCTGAGGCCCAGGGTCCTGGAAGCAGTGCTCAGACGCGGACCTTGGGGAGGTCTCAGAACATCTCTATGCTTCTGGACCCGCTCAGAAACCTGCCGCCCGCTGTCCCACTTCCTCTTTCTTTTTAAATCCTCATCTGAGCATATGTTCTTATTGATTTTGAGAGAGAGAGAGAGAGAGAGAGAGAGAGAGAGAGAGAGAGAGAATCATCAATGTGAGAAACAGCAATCAATTGCCTCCCCAGTATTTGCCCCTACTGGGGATTGGACCCACAAACTAGGTAGTTGCCCTGACCAGGAATCGAACCCGCAACCTTTTGGTGCACCAGATGACACTCCAGCCAACTGAGCCTCCTGCCAGGGTTGTCCTACTTCCTTTGAGTGCCCTGTTCTCCTTGGTCCTTCCCTAAAGCCAACCAGCAAACCGGGTGCCTGGTTGTTTTCACAGTCAGTCCCTGCCTTGCTAGGGCAGCGGGTGTGCAGGTGCCAGCCGCAGCCTCACTTGACCCGGAGAGTGGGAGTGCCAGCAGCCAGAGCAAGGGAGTCCCACGGTCTTCGCTTGGCTGGCCTGGCGGCCTCACGCTGTAGGCAGGAGTGGGCATGTGTTTGCTACAGCAGTGGGCAGCACCACGGATGCAGTCACTGCACGTTTCCTCTGCCCCATGGCGTGCTAAGTGCCTAGCATACACCGTCCCACCAAACCTCACAGCATCAACATCCCATCCTCCAAAGGAGGTCACACCACCCCGCGGTCCAGGCAAAGCCAGGCTTCCAGAGTGGGTTTGCCTGGTTCCCACGAGGAATGCTTCCAATAGGCAGGTGCTCAGGCTGGCCCGGGGCCAGAGCTGGGCAGGCTGGGCCAGACCATCCTGAGAGCACCTTGGGAGCAAGGGGGATGGAGAGAGGAGACCCAGACACTCTCCCTAGGGCGCTGCCCTCAGGGGGAGGCTGGGTGTCTTTGAGGAAAGCCTGTCCCCGCCTTAGGAAGGAAAGGCGTCAGGAGGGACCTGCAGACCTGGCTCAGAGGGAGCAGCCAGGATTTAAGTCATTTGGGGAAAAGGCTTGGCCTGGCTCTTCTCTGAGGCTCTGAGCAGGGAGGGAGAGATCACTCCAGAGGCTGCCTGGGGCCCGGCCCCTCTTCCCCGTCCACCGGCCGCTGTCAGCCCCGCCCCTAGGCAGACCTCTGGCCAGGAGGCACCTGGGCACCTGCTTCTCCCCACCTCCCAGGACCCACCCATGTCTCTAGGCCTTGCCCCTCAACTCTGGGCACCAGGTGTATCGCCCAGAGTCTCTGAAGTAAGTGTGTGTGCTTTCCAATGGGAGTGGGCTAGGGTGGACGAAACCAAAATTCACAGTCAGTCAGGTGAAAGGCACAGGAGAGCAAGACGGGAGGCCCGTCTCCCCACTGTGCCGGGTCAGCGGCCAGGCCTGCTCACTTCAGCGGCCCCTGGGGGCGCGTGGCCACAGACTCAGACTGCGAATGCCTAGAACAGTGCCCGGCACACTGGGGCACTAAATACTTGTGGGCAAAGTGGAGGGAGTGGATTGCTTATTTTGTCTTCAGCTAAAGCGTGACTTCTTTTTCCACTTTCCCCTGAGCACACTCGTCTCATCTCCCTGCCCTGGAGTCCCCCAGTGCCCCCGGCTGCCCTGCTGAGCTTTGCCAGCTGTGGGCCAGACACCCGTCCCAGCAACACAAGAAGCCACTCGGCACCAGGCTGGGCTAGTTCCTTAGCAGTTTTATTGAGTAGTGAGAGCTAGAGGCATTTTCCACAGGACACATGTCCTCAAAGTCTAAAGGGAATTGCTTTGGGACAGACGGACAGACAGGTGGCGGGGCAGGGCAGGTGTCCAGGGCGGGGCGTGGGCACCAGGGGCAGCTCAGGCCCCCAGGAGCGCCTGCTCCTGGGTCTGCTCGAGGAGAGGGTTCCTCAAACTCGAAAGGGAATTGCTTTGGGAAAGACCGACTGACAGGTGGTGGGGCGGGGCAGGTCTCCAGGGCGGGGCGTGGGCACCAGGGGCAGCTCAGGCCCCCACGGGCGGCTGCTCCTGGGTCTGCTCGGGGAGGGGGGGCGCCACGGGCTGGTCCTGGCCCTCCTGCACGGGCTGGTCCTGGCCCTCCTGCACGGGCTGGTCCTGGCCCTCCTGCACGGGCTGGTCCTGGCCCTCCTGCACGGGCTGGTCCTGGCCCTCCTGCACGGGCTGGTCCTGGCCTTCCTGCACGGGCTGGTCCTGACCCTCCTTCTGCAGCGAGCTGAAGAAGGAGTTCACCTTCTCCCTCAGGTCCTTCTCCAGAAAAACCAGGTGGCTTTGCACGTCCCCCGACTGGGGGCCCAGCTTCTGCTTGAGCTCCTCCACCTGCTGCGTCAGGATCTTGTTGAAGGCGTCGCCGTGGGGCTCCACGCTGCGGCGGAACTCCTCCACCTTGGCGTCCAGCTGGCCGCCGAGCTGCGCCAGGGACTGCCGCAGCCCCTCGGCGCCGCTGCCCAGCTTGCCGCGCACGTCCTCCGCCAGGGGGGCCAGGCTGCGGCGCAGCTGCTCCGCGTCTGCCGAGAGCTTGGTCTTGAGCAGGTCGGCGTTCTTCTTCATCTGGAAGGCCAGCCCCTCCAGCTGGTGGTTGAGCTTCTCCTGGGCGTCCTGCGCGTAGGGCGTCAGGCTGCGGCGCAGCTCCTCCACGTTCTGGTCGATCTTGAGCTTGAGGTCGTCGGCGTAGGGCGTGAGGCGCCCCTTGAGCTCCTCCACGTTGCGGTCGATCAGGCCCTGCAGCTCGTCGGCCACGGGCGCCAGCGAGGCCTGCAGGTTGTCCTTCTGGTCGCGCAGCAGCGTCTCCATGCGCTGCGCGTAGGGGCTCAGTTGACTGCGCAGCTGCTCGGCCTGCGAGCGGACCTGGGCGCGCAGCTGATCGGCGTAGGGCCCCAGGCGCTGCTGCAGGTCCCGCGCGCCGTCCTCGATGCGCTGGCTCACGTCCTGGGCGTGCGGCTGCAGCCGCGCCCGCAGCTCCTCCAGCTCCTTCTGGATCTGCTCCTTCAGCTGCTCTGAGTCCCTGGTCAGCCGCTCGCTCAGCCCCGTGGCGAAGGGCACCAGCTTCTTCTGCAGTTTGCTCGCGTAGGCGTTCACGTCGTCCACTTGGTCCTGGAAGAGGGAGCTGCGGGGGGGGGGCGCGGGCGGGGTTAGCTTGGGCGTCGCCCCGGACCGTGTTTCCCTGACCTGGCACTCACCCCGCACATCCTGCCCAGGACGGGGGAGCGGGGGAGCGGGTGGGCCTAGCCCCGCCTTTAGGGCTGGCAGCCCCGGTTGCTGCCCTGCGTGTGCACACTGCTTTCTGCTCCTGCCTGTGCCCAGCGGCCCTGGAGGGCCTTTCCCGCGGGGGGTGCTGGGACAGACCCCGTTATCTAAGATGTGAGGTTCTGGATTCTTCCAGGGCCTTCTAGTGGCACGAGGGCTGGTTTCCTTGCATGTGCCCACCCTCAGAGCCCCCAGTGCCCTTCCTCGGACTGGACTCCACGGGCCGTCTCTGGGACTGCGTTAGAACCCAGCATAGGCCTTCCCGCCTGCTCCCGTGAGCCTCAGTGCTGAGCCGTGGCATTGCCACTCTGCAGTTCGGGCGGGAAGACACCTGAGGGGGTTCTCCGCGCAGCTGGCCTGTTTGCACAGGCGGATTCCAGCCCGGGAGGCCCCAGGGTCACAGGAGCTGGTGGCAGGCAGTGGCCGCAGGTCCGCCCCGCTCAGCCCTGACCCAGGCAGTGCGTGCCCACTTACTTGAGCTGCTGGGTGAGCTCAGACTTCTGGATTTGCTGCACCGCCTCCTTGGCATTGTCGCCCAGCTGCCGGAAGTAGTTCCACACCACAGTGGCCACCTCGTCGGGATTGACCTCGGCCAGCGTGCCTGGGCAGGAAGCAGAGCAGCTCATGAGACCACCTTGCCCCTCCCCATTCCCCTGGCTGCAGCTGGCGCCGAGGCCAGTGGCTGCAGCTGTGGACGTGCCAGCCCTCCCTGAGCCAGGTGGCTGCTGGGCAGCCCTCCGGTCCGGCCAGGGCCGACAGGCACTGGTCTGTCCCTTCTTCTGGGCCTCCGACTCTTGGCCCAGCCCCAGGTCCAAAGGCAGCTGCTACTCACCGGTGACAGCCACCAGGGCCAGCGCCAGCACCACGGCCTTCAGGGACATCCTGGCTGCTGGCTGGCTGCAGCCCTGCCGCACTGACCCTTCCTGGAATCGGATCAAGAAGAGAGGCTCTCGCGGGCTTCCTTCGCTCTCCGGACTGCGGAGCCGGGGCCAACCAGGCATTTAAACCCCAGGCCGCCCGCCCACGGCCCCTCCCAGCGGGACTCCACGCTGGCAGGTGACACATTCTCAGGAGGCCTCTTGGACTTTTGTGACCCTCAGATGACGTGGAAGCTGTCAGCAGACTGGGGCTTGGGCAACAATCAGAAGCGGCTGTTCTCTGCTTGTGCCCCACCCAGTACGAAGGGAAGAGGGAGTGTGAGCTGCGGAGAGTGAGGCCCTGAGGCCTGAGTCCAGGAAAGGGGTCCCCAAGGCCCAGCTGGCAGCTCGGGGCCGGGGCCAGGCTTGGGGGACAAAGTTCACATCTCCTCTGTCTACCCCAGGGTGAGAGCACCCCCGCCTCCAAACGCCCCAGTCTGACTCCATCTCAAAGCACCCGACTCTAGACGGGGACGCCCAGGGCCACGGTCAGGGCAGCGAGCTAAGGGTCCTGGTTAGGTGCGCCAAGGTGGACGGGCCTGCAGAGCCTGTGCGGAGGGGTCAGTTCTAAGTTTGCCTCCTGTCCCTGCTGCCAAACTGTGTCACCTTGGTCTCCTGATTCAACGTGGCCCAGCTGAGCCTGTGTCTCTGAAAATGGGTGGTCGGGTCTATTAAACGAGATGCTTCTTGTGAAGTAAGCGGCACAGCGCCTGGCACAGACGAAGCACCAAAGAGCTGCTGATGTTAAAAACATGACTTTCCTGATTTGGACCGGAGAATGCTCACCCTCCAGTGGGCGTGCCTGTGAGACTGGGCCTCTGCAGGTCGCCAGGGGTGGCGGTGCAGGTGACAGACAGTAGGGCAGCCCAGGGCGGGTCATGTTCACCGGCCCTGCCGCACTCCCTGGCAGAAGTGGCCGGCTTCTGGTGGAACTCAGGCCCTGGCTCTTAGGGGCCTTCACCAGGAGGTGTGGGGGCACCGAGAGGCCTTCTACTTGGACTCCTAACGTCCTCTCCACATGGGGTCTCACACAGACACCTCTCCCCGGGACCAGGAGCCGACGTCTGTCACAGGCAGGGCGCGGCCGGCCCCCTGGGCTGGGTGCTGCGTGCTCCCGGTCAGAACAGACCCTGACCTGCCACCTCCATCGTTTTTTTTGAAAATATATTTTATTGATTTTTTTACAGAAAGGAAGGGAGAGGGATGGAGAGTTAGAAACATCGATGAGAGAGAATCATCGATCAGCTGCCTCTTGCACACCCCCTACTGGGGGTGTGCCTGCAACCAAGGCACATGCCCTTGATCGGAATTGAACCTGGGACCCTTCAGTCCATAGGCCGGCGCTCTATCCACTGAGCCAAACCGGTTTTGGCGCCACCTCCACCTTGCCATGCCAGAGTAGCCTGGTGTCTGCGGGGGAAGACGGCTAAAGGCCTGCTGCTCACAGCCCTTCTGCTGACCTCCGTCTCCCCCCACTCCCACCCGCTCCCCCCAGCGTCAGGGAGCGCCTCCCGGAGCAGCCGGGCCCTCCTGCAGTGGTTGTTAAGGGTTCAGATTCTGGGGTCAGACCCCTGGTTATACATCTGGGCTCCCCACTCACTGTCTGTGTGTCTGTGGGAACTTGGGCAAGTCTTTTACCCCCGACTCCCAACCCCACCCCCAAGCCTCAGCTGCCTCTTGGGCTGAGGATTCCGAGAGAGTCTGTGTGATGCTGGGAACAGGGTCCGGCGCATGGTCAGCACCCGTCAGGCAGCAGCTGCGTGCTGCCCTGAGCGGCTGACTCCGGAGGCAGGCACGGTGAGGCGGGTGGGCCAAAGCGGGGCTCAGTAGCCTGTCCCAACCCCTCCTCCCGGCCCAGAGACGGAGGGTAGTGAGTCACAAAGGACACCTCAGCGGCAGTTTGACCTCCTGGACTTGCTGTCCCAGCAGCAGCATGTGGCAGGCTCAGAGTGCGGCCGCCTCCTCGCTGCGGAGTCTGCGTGTCCGAGCGGCTGCAGGCCGTGTACGGGCACACATAAGTATGCGCGTAGATGGGCAGTTTGTGGACACACAGCTCGGGCCTGGAGCAAAAGGCTGCCACAGCCTGGCACCTGCACCCACAGACGTGTGGTGGGTGGCACACCATTAATGGTGCATGCATTGCCCACTGCAGGCATATTTCTTCGGCTGTGAATGGCTTAGTGCTGGGGCCGGCTTAGAGGCTGCAAGTGCTGACAGGTAGCACAGAGTCTGCCTCTGCGGGCCCCAGGCTCTCGCTGGCCCTGGCCCTGTGCGTCTGGGGCCTGTGTGCTGTTGGGCAAATCTCTTTCCTCTCTGAGCTCATCTCCTTGATGTACAACAGGAAGACCTAAAGGCTGTGCAGTGACCAGGCTATAGTCCAGCATCACCGATAGCCACCCTCCTGTCCACCCATGGGGTCACACCAGGGGTCAGCCCAGAGAGAGGGTCAGGAGGGGACCCCTAGTCCCACTCAGGGGCAGACATGGATGTGTGTCCCCAGGTGTGCTCGATGCTGACCTTTGTTTCAGGGAGAACTAAGGGAGTCATCTCCTGTTGCAGGATCTGGGCAAGGAGGAGGGACTTCCGGTGTGGAGAGGCGAGGTGAGCCAGGGCCTCTGCTGGTGGGCAGAATCAGGGCTGCCAGGCCAGCTAGTGGCAGGGCAAGGATCATGGGGCTCCTGGACACAAGTGGAAGCAGAGATAGTCAGCCCAACACTCCTCCCTGGCCCCCACTGTACGCGCCTGCGCACACACACGCATACACACACACATGCACACACACCCTGGGTACTCCCCAGAGCTGGTCGGTAGGCCAAAGTAGTCTCTTTAATCTAGGGGAGCCAAGCAGGAGGGAGGAAGAGGGAAAAGGAGAGCGGGGCCTGAGAGGACCCTGCCCTGACACTGAGACAGCCCTCTCCCACAGAGACCCAGGCTCGGAGCTGCTAGGCAGGCACAAGCACTCACAGGGGCCAGGCCCTTAGGAGGAGATGGGTCCCAGGGGTCAGGGCATGTGATGACCAGATGCATGGCCCGCTCACTTACCTCTGCTCCCAGCTCGGCACCACCTGCTGGGCTGCTCTGCCTGCAGCTTCTCGCCTGCCTGGGCTCAGCGGGCACTGCCATGCAGGACAGAGAACAGCTCCTCACACCCCGCCCACATGGAGGTGGAGAGGGAGGAAGCAGGCTGAGGGATGCAGCCATGCCATCCGAGCACCTGGGCTGAGGTGTGGTGCCTCAGCCCCACCGGGACTCTGGTTTCTGCAGTTCTCTCACTTCTTTGGATGAGAAACGGGCCAGAGCAGAAGAGGGAGGTGGGCAAAATTGCCTGCTACCTCCCAATGCCCAAATCTTTTGTTTGTTTGTTAATTCTCATCTGAGGATATTTTTCCATTGACTTGTTTTATTTTCTTTTTGAGAGAGAGTGGAAGGGAGGGGAAGAGACAGAGAGAGGAACATCGATGTGAGAGGGACACATGGATTGGTTGCCTCTTGCACATGCCCTGGCCAGGGCTAGGGAGCAAGTGTCCAACCCAGGTATGTGCCCTTGACTGGAATCAAACCTGGGACCCTTCAGGCCAGAGGCTGATGCTCTATCCACTGAGCCACACCAGCCAGGGCTCAGAGACCTTCTAATCACCTTTCTCCCACCCCATCCCCAACGCCATCACCAACGTGATGAGCTGAGGATGAGTGACTGATAAGTCTCCAGGAGCTCACCTCCCCACTGCTCGGTACCAGCGAGGGTGTTTGAAGACCAGGTTGTGTTTCCCCCTGAGGGGCCCTGCACTCGGTCCCTCTCCACTCCTTTGGGGTCCTTACCTACAAAATGGGGTTAGTCGTGTCTACCACATGGGAATCGGAATAGTTAAATTTTGACAGAGAACAAGGTCTAAGCCAGAGGAACATTCCGAGCCTCAGCCCTGGGTGAGGAATTTTGGGGGAGGGCCAGGCCACTTCCTCGGCTCTGATTCCGCCGTGGGGCTGCTCCTTCCTGACAGCACGACGCCTCCAGAAGCCCGAAGCCCGGTCAGCTCCCTCGGAGGCGCCCCCCTCTGGCGTGGTGCCGGGAGGGCATCGTTGGGAGGAAGGGAGAGAGATCAAAGGGCCCCCTTCGTCGGTCAGCACTTTGACCTTCTCCTGTGCTCTCACCAGAGCTCTGTCCCCTTTTCCCAGGGGAGAGGAGTGAGGCTCTGAAAGACCGCGCCCGGACCATATGAGTACATGCCAGAGGCATCATTTCAACCTAGGATTCCTTGGCTCCCAAGTCTTAGCAGCTAGAACTCCAAGTCCCGCGATCTTGCCATCCAGGCCATGGCTCCCGCTGTGGGCTGTGGGGACACACCCCAGCCCCCCTTCTCCTGGCAGCCAGCCGACCCTGCAGAGTCTCAGCCCTCTGCCCACCAGCCTGGCTTCTCCCAGCCTTGCTTTCCGCCAGGCACCCATCAGCCAGTGCCGCCATTTCCAAGCTGAGGAACCTATGGCGAAGGGTGCTCGGCGCTGGAGTGGATCCCAGGGCCACCGTGAGGGGCGGGCCCAGCCCGGAGCTCAGAGCGGCTGCCCTCCCGGGCTGTTATCTGTGGGTCTAGAGAGCCAGGCGAGGAGTGGGAAGGCGGGGTGGGACAAAGGCCTTGGGCTCAGAGGCCAGAGTGACCTTGGCCCTTCTCCCACCACCCCCTGCCCCGGGCCAGCACGGGGAGGCTTCTGGGTAAGCAGCACTGGGATTGAAGCCAGAGTGGAGGTGCCGGGGAGGGGGCTGTGTGGACTCAGCAGTGTCACCTCCTGTGTCACGCCCAGGCCTCTGTGACCTCCCTCCAGACACCCTATCCCAGTGCTCTGAGTTGTTTCCAAGCCCATTGCCCTCTCACTCCCCCCCGCCCCCAGGCCGGGCTGTTATCAGGCTTAGGGGTGGGGAAGGGAGGGACCAAGAGTGAGGGCAAAGGTGGACCCAGAGGCCTGGCTTGTCCCTCAGCCCCTCTCCTTCACCGGCCTCTTCCAGGGGAGCCAGGCTGCTAGGAAGGAGTGGGGTCTTTCCAGGCTCAAACACTCCAGTTCCTCGTGCACCCCCAGTTCTGGGCTGTAGGGGTCCCGGGAGAGTGGCATGGGCACCCACAGCCTTCTAGAGATTTCCCAACTCTCCCAGCAGGCCTCGCTGCGTCGGGCCGCCCTGCCTTGGGCCCTGGTCTAGACTGATCAGCAGGTGACCTTTGCCCAGCTCACCAGGTCCTAGGCACCCACTGTCCAGGGGACAATATAAAACGGGTCAGAACCTCTGCTCTGCCTGTTCAATTCCTTCCCAGCAGCAGCCGCTCCAGGTAATGTCCTGGGCGCCGGGGGTGTGAGGGGTGTGGGGGTGGACAGGAGAGCAGGATGGGAAGGGTGGAACAGGGTCCCCGGTGCCCAGCCAGCAAAGTCTGAGAAAGCCCAGGAAGACTTAGGGCTTAATGGAGGCCCCACCTCCGATGGCACACTGGGGGAAACTGAGGCCCATGGAGACGAAGTCACCTGCCCAGAGCTGGGGCTGAGCTGGCTCTAGGCCTGCACACTTCCCTTGTCTGCATGTTTGGGATGGGACGCCCCAGTCCTTCCCAGACCGAAGTCAGAGGCCTGGGATAGGGTCACAAGGTCACATACGTGTTAGTGGCAGGGACGGACCAGACCCAGGTGTCCTGATTCCTGGTCTGCTGGGTTTTCTGTTCCACCCACGCTCCCTCCTCGGGCTGCGTCTGCTTTGGGAAGCCTCCGCCTTCGGTCATCACGTTCGCGTGGGAGCAGGCTCTCCACCGGCTGCAGCCAGCTCGGTGCACAGAGCCACACCCGCAGCCTACAGCTCCCCTCACCAGACCTTCCCTGCAGGGACAAAGCCGTCATGCAGCCCCGGGTCCTCCTTGTTGCTGCCCTCCTGGCGCTCCTGGCCTCTGCCCGTAAGCCGCTTGTGGGGACTAGGGCTGGGGACCCGTGGGGGCAGGGTCACCAGAGGACCCTGGAAGGTGGCTTGGTGATCTGGGGCTGATGGGTGGCTGGCAGGAGCCAGGGCTCCCGGCACTGAGGCAGCCCTCTCGGCCACTGTCCTCGCAGGAGCCGCGGAGCAGGACGAGGCCTCCCTCCTGGATTTCATGCATGACTACGTGCAGCAGGCGAGCGAGACGGCCCAAGTCGCCCTGACCAGCGTGCAGGACTTCCCGGTGGCCCAGCAGGCCAGGTACGCCTGCGGCCCCACCTGCCCCGCCAGGACCTGGTCTACGCAACAGGCCCTCCCCTCCTGCCCCCTCCCTCTGCCGCCTCCTTCCTCCCTCAGCTGTCCTGTGGCTTTAAGGAAGGCCCCAGTTCCCTGTCCTTTTCTGACAGCCCCCCCCACACACACCCCATTTCAGCCCAGGGTGGGTGTGTGTTTCAATCTTGCTCTGAGCCTGCCCCCCCCCCCCCCCCCCCCCCCCCCCCGAGCAGAGTCTGTCCCTCCTCTTCCACCTGCCCTGCCCCCATCCTCTCCCCTCCACTGCGCTGCCAGCACTGCGGTGTCCCTGGGCAGAAGCCCGCAGACATCTCAGTCCTCAGCGCTGCTGTGCAGTGGGGATCCTTCCTTCCATTTCACTGATGAGAAAATCGTGTCTCGGAGAGGTTGTGACCTGCCCACATCACACAGCTGACTTTCCAAACTAGCGGCCTTTCCTTGCGCCCCCCCAACGCCCCCCGGCTCCACGCACACTCTGAGCCGCCGGGCTGTGTAACTCCGGGGGCAGCATTTGCCTAGAATAGAATGGCAGGCTCCCCCTGCACTCCCGCGCCTCATCATTGGGCCACATGAGCCCAGCCTGGAGAGGCAAGCAAAGGACTTGAGCTAGGGTCCCATCACCACCTTCTGCAGGGGTGGAGCTGTCAGGACTCTCCTGGGGTCTCAGGGGTGCCGCTGGGCGAGGCTGAGGAGGGAGAGGCAGTGGGGATGCGGAGGGCCCAGGCGGCCGCTGCTGCAGAGGCACCCTGTCTCCGTGCAGGGCCTGGATGACAGACGGCATCAGCTCCCTGAAGGACTACTGGAGCTCCCTCACGGGCAAGCTCTCCAGCCTCTGGGACCTGGCCCCCGAGGCCCCCGAGGCCACCGCAGCTCCCGCCGCCGTTTAAGCCACCCGAGACCTTAACGCCCCACGCCTGCCTGCCCATCCACCCTGCCGGCTCCTTGGGTCCTGCGCCTCCAGGGCTGCCCCCAAGTTCCCTCCCAAGGGACAGCGTTCTCAGGGTCCTCCCCTCCCACCCCAGCCCGGCCCCAGCATGCCGTCTTCCCAATAAAGCTGCTGTGAGTGGGGCGTCCCACATGTGCCATGTCATGTCTGGGCTGGGCACGGGCGGGCGGCTCTGCAGGCGGCGCTGGACCGAGCTGGTGCCTTCCCGCCTCTTCATGTGTGGGCCCGAGTTTCTTACCTGTAAGGAAGGAATAACCCTGCCAGCCTCGGCGGGTTTGTGTGGAGGCGCAAACAGGATGCCGGTGTGACAATACCTCGACAAGCTGCCCCATGCTGTACACGCAGGGGTCCTCAAACTTTTTAAAGTGGGGGCCAGATCACGGTCCCTCAGAGAGCTGGAGGGCCCGACTATATGAACTACTAATTCCTACTGTAACACCTCGGCTGCGCTCACTGCCCAAAAAACCTGGCGGGCCGGATCAGACTCCTCTGCGGGCCGCATGTGGCCCGCGGGCCGTAGTTTGAAGACGAATGCTACAGCATGCCGTTACGTGCGCTCCTGCCAGGCACTGTGCCTGCACTGGTATGTCCGAGTCAGAGCTGAGACTGTCCATTCGCTCAAGTTATGGAGCTGCTGGCTTGCACCTCGTGGGCCACGAGCCCGCTCAGCCACACTGGAGGGGAGGCGGCCCCCGGGGGAGCTGTGGGGTAGGATATGACCAGGCTCTGGCCTTGGCTCCACCAGGCATACCAGCTTCAGTTCTCTATCTGTGAAGGGGGCACAACAATGCCCCCTCCATTGTAGGTTTGTTGAATGAACGAACGAACGAATGAATGAATGAATGAATGAATGAAAAGTGAGACAGTGTTTACCACCTGGCACATCAAAGGCTGTCATTGTGGCTACAGTTGGAGCTGATTGCCCCCTTGGGACTGGGATCGGAGGGAGAGGGCCAATGTCTTTGGAAACTAGGAGGGAACCCAAGGTCACCCACAGATGGTGCTTTGCTTAGATGCTCTCATCTGAGAGTTCCAGTGAGAAACCAACCCTACGATGACTTTCCAAATTAGAGGCCTTTCTCTCCCCCCCCCCCCACCACCACCACACACACACTCTGAGCCACCAGCTTGCCCACGTCACAGTCAGCTTGCTCAGTGGCAGAGCCAGACCTCAAGCCCAGGCCAGCCACCCACATTCTGCTCAGCAGACACAGGAAGAAGCCTTCCCTCCCCCTGTGCCAGCTGAGAAGGCTCCCAGACCAAGCTGGGGGGGCCTGCACACCTGGACCCCCTTGGAGGCATCTGCTGCCCCCGAGATCTGCCGGCTTCTCTCTGACCTGCTGGGCCTGTGGCCCCAGCACCACCCATGCTCTCACCGGGGCTGATACCTGCTGGTGTAGGCGATTAGGAACCAAGATGGTTAGGAGCTGAAAAGCCTGCCCCTTTACCCAGGAGGCCCTCAGACAGACTGGAGAGGGAGGAGGGGGATCCTCCAGGGGCCTGTCCAGTCAGGGCAGCCCTGCGGGGAGGGAGAGGGGAGGCTGCCTGAAGGCGCTGCCCGATCGCGGGCTCTGAAGAGGCTGGTGTGAACTGGGCCGCACACATGTGGATGGTGCGGGCGTGTATGTCCAGTCAAACTCAGTGCTGGCCACACACGTGTTTTGTTCAATAGCCATGGACGCCCAGAGGCAAAGGGGTCTGAAAAGGGCAACCCCTGCCACCCTCCTCTCCAACCTGGGGAGCGCCCCCCCCCCCCGCCCCCCGTCTCCAAGCCCTAGTCCCTCCCCGATGGATGTGGTTTGATGGCGTCCAGCGGGGACTCTGAGAGGGCTGCGGTAAGTCAGTGGCATGGAAGCATCTGGAAATAAAAATGTGCTAACTCTGCAGCGCTGTGGTTGTTTTTCTGACTCAGGCCAGGGCGGGCAGAGGGCGTGGCAGGGCTTGGCGCCCCCTCGGTGGGCTGGCTGGCTTGCAGCCGTGAGGACACAGTGGCTGCTTCTGGATAGGGTGGGAGGGAGGAAGGGCAGCTGCCCTTGTGAAAAACCAAAAGGGAAGTGCTACATGCTGTTCCATTGATAAAGGAGGAGGGAGCGAGGGCCATGCTCTTGGTTTGAATCTGCCCAGATTCTTCAAGTCTCCCCGAGGTGCACCACAACCCCCACCGGAGCCCAGGCTGGGAGGTCCTGTCTGCCCAAGGGGGGCCTTGGGGACCCGAACCGCTTCTCCCAGCAAAACAGCCCCGCCTCCTGCCCCTCCCTGACTCCCACCCCCAGGGGACCCGCGGCTGCAGTCTGGGCCCCAGGGCACTCGGCATTGGGCTGTCTGTCGCTCCGCCTGCTCCCGTTCCTTTCGCTGCGCCGTCCTCAGGAAGGGCCGCCTACCACCCGCACCCGCTCCGCAGCCGGAGCTCCCGCCCCGCAGGCTCCCAGCCCGCACCTTCCCTTCTCCCAAGAGAGAGCCATTTGGAGAACTTTTTATTGTTTAAAAATCATCCGTGAAACTTCAAAAACCATCAAACCCAACACATGCGGGAGTCCCGCTTTGTAAACGTTTATTCTAAGAAACCGAGCGATGGCAGGGGACGGAGGCCGGGGCGGGGTGGGCGCGGGGTGGGCGGCGCCTCACTGGCCGGCCCCCTCCTCGGGGAGCAGGAGGCTCCCCAACACGGGCAGCATTCCCGAGCGCAGGTCCTCCAGCAGGCCCCCCAGCGGCTCCTGGTTCTCGCTCAGCTTGCTCAGCTTCTCCCACAGCTTGACCTGCAGCTCACGCAGCTTCTCGCCCGCCTTCTTGTGCATCTCGCTCAGCTTCTTGCCCGCCTGGACCCGCAGATCGCTCAGATTCACTCGGCCCTCCTGCAGCGCCTGCAGCTGTGTGGCCAGGTCCTTGGGCATCTGGTCGCCGTAGCGCTCCAGCAGCTTCTCCACGGACATGCTCGCGCCCTCCCGCAACTTCGAGCCCAGCTTCTCCCTCAGCTGCTGCAGGTAGAACGTCACCCTCTCCTTCGCCTGCTCCAGGTCCTTGTTCATATCCTGGGTCAGCAGGCTGTTCCAGTACTCCTGGGTCATCATCTGGGAGAGCTGATCGCGCAGTTTGGTGATATTGTCACCCAGGGTGTCCAAGTTGTCCATGATTTTCAGGCTGGGGGAGGACGGAGAGCAGGGGCAGCCGGTGTCAGGAGGCACCTCCCATGCACCCTGGACACCTCAGAGCTGCAAACCCAGCGCCCAGCTTACCTGTGGTGAGACCTGGGCAAAGCCTGTTCCTGCTTTTGGGTAGCGATGGGTCAGGCCTCGGCCCGGCTTCTCCCATGAGGTGTCTCACCCAAGCACCCACCTCTTCTACACCCGCCCCCTCCCCAGTCCACAGACTGAAGAGCTAGTGGGAGACAGCGCTGGTTTGGGGATCAGTCTTGTCTGTCCCCAAAGCTGGACCATTTAACGGCCTCGTCTCTGTACTTCAAGACCGTTCTCCTCTCTCCGAAGGCCGCCTCCCTGCCTCTCGGCGAGCGGCAGAGGGACTGGAGGGAGGGAAGGAAGGGGCAGCTGCTCCTGCAGGCAGGTCTCCCCCCCCCCCCCCCCCCAGGAGGCTGTGACCTTGCCTGGAGATCCCATTCCTGTTTCTCCATTCAGGTAAGAGGCCCATCAGGTAGCAGTTGGGATCAGCCAGTGTGGCTACCTCTTCCTACAGGCCTGGCATCTGCCCCCCGGGACCAGCAGCCCCTGTGCCACCCAGAGCCCACGCGGAGTTCTTACTTCATCTTTTTTGCCAGTTCGCAGGCTTCGATCCTGGACACGAGCTCCTTGCCACCTTCTTTCAACATGTCCGTATACACGCTGGCTGCTTCCCTCACTCTATCCCATTGGGTCTGGGGGTCGTCCTGCTGCAAGGTGTGCCGAGCCTGGCCCCCTGGGGTGGAGGAAGGCACCCGTCAGGCCAGCTCTGGGTCGGGACCTGCGCGCCAAACCAGCGAGGCGCAGGAGAGGGGGGCTTGGGAGAAGGTCTGCTCCCTGTGCCCAGAGGGTAGACCACGGGGTTAGGGAGAGGCCCTCCTGGTGTTGGGGCACCTACCTGTGAGGAAGAGCACGGCCAAGGTGAGCACCACGGCCTTCATCTTGGGCGACCTGGAGGGGGAGAGGGGCCTGGCTGAGTGGGGCTGTGGCTGCAGGGCCTGTGCCTGTGCCCCACTCTCCGGGCGGAGCAGCCTCAGGCATCCAGAGCCCGGAATCTGGCAGAGCCTGGAGCCCAGAGCCCAGAGCCCGAGCTCAGAGCTGGGGGCCAAAGGAGCCGGCAGAGGCAGCGGCGTACCTGGGTGAGTGCTCAGCGTCTGAGAGCAGCGTGCCCGGGGCCTATTTATGCCCCCAGCAGACCCGGGCCGGAGGCTGATAAGTCCAGCCCAGGCCTTGCCAATGCTCACAGGTCCCAGCGGGAATCTGGAACTTAGAGTTCAAGGATCAGTCTGTCCCTGGAGCTGGGCAAACAGAGTGGGCAAACAGGAAGCTGGGGGCTGGGGACCTGCAGGGCCAGGGATCAAGGCTTCAGGAGGGAGTAGGAGGGGGTGGCTGCAGGCTTACAGGTCCCCAGGGTCTGGGCCAAGGTTTCCCACTATTGTCCATTGTGCCCGCGCAGCAGGGAGAGGAGGGGAGGAAGAAGGTCCCACTGGTCAGGAACAGCAGGAAGCCCCTGCGATTCCAGGGAGATGCGCCAGCAGCACCCCTCCTGCTCCTCCCCCAGACTCTTCCCCTCTCAGCTGCAGCTTCTGCACCCCTCTCTCCCAGCCCCTGGAGACCTCCCAGGCCTAAGCAAGAGAACATGGGGTGCCCAGAGCCGCCTGGGGAGCGGGGGAGTGCTCAGTGGCCCCAGGCTTGGAGAGAAACCTGTAGTGTTTCCAAACAAACCCTAGAGACCAACCATAGAGTTGCGAACTTTTAATGCTGTCATGTAAAAACCCTACTGACTGGGGCCCAAACCCTGCCATCTACCATGACCAGCACTTCAGAACAGAAAATAGTTTTGTTTTTGTTTTTTTAAAAAACAACATGTTTTTATTGATTTCAGAGCGGAGGGAAGAGGGAGAGATAGAAACAATGAGAGAGAATCATTGATCAGCTGCCTCCTGCACGCCCCCTACTGGGGATCAAGCCTGCAACCAGGGCATGTGCCCTTGGCCAGAATCGAACCCGGGTCCTTCAGGCCTCAGGCCAGCACCCTAATAATACTGGTTAGGGCAAGAAAAGATTTTTAACACCAAAATAGAGCATAATCTCAGAATAAAGGATAGTCACGTAAACGAAAAACGTGGATGGGTCGTATTTACACGGACGGCGGGACCACTGATGCGGGAGGAAGACCTCGGGTCCAGCAGAACCGCGTTCTCATTTCCTCTTGCCTCCAACTTGCAAAGCCTTGGAGGCACCGGGGAGGCAGTTTTGTGATCTCCCTGAGCTTCCGACTCCAGTCAGCAACACGGGGACGGGCTTGTGGGGCCCAGGAGCCTGACAGGCGAAGCGCTGTGCTTGCTGGCGTGCAGCGCCGTTCAGCGAGGCTGCTCTCCGAAGGCCCAGCGCCTCTGCACCAGGCCACGACAGGCCCTGAGTCACAGGGCCTCTGACTGTCCATGCTGACAGGCACTTGGAGATCAGCTGTTCCAGCCTCTCCAGCACCTTGGAAACAAGGAAGCTGAGGCAGTGAACGGAATTTGCCCGGTGTCTCTGCTCTCCCAGGAGTTGGAAGAGGGACGGGACCTAGAGTCCAGGTCTCCGGACCTGGGACCCCAGGCAGAAATGTGCCCTCCGCCTCCCAATGCCAGCTCCTGGCGCGGGGGGGCTCTGGCCGTCCCCACTGTGGCCAGTCTCATGCCTTTCGCCTCTGAGAGGAAAGCTGTGGAGCCCGGCAGCCCTGGGCTGGAGTCCCAGCTCTGCCACTTACTCTCTGCGTGCCGCTGGGCCAGTCACAGAACCGTAAGGACCAGCTCTTCCATAGCAAGGCTAGCCTGTCTGGCAGGCAGAACAATGGTCCCCCAAGTCCTGCTCCTTGGAACCTGTGGCTGTTCCCCTGCATGGCAAAGGACTTTGCAGATGTGACTATGAGGACTGAGAGATGGTGTGGTCATCTCGGTCATCCAGGCGGGCCCAGTACCATCCCAACCCCCCTGAAATACACGGGATGGGGGCAGGAGAGGTGGAGCCAGAGGAGGTGGCGAGAGGGTGGGAGCAGAGGTCGGAGTGAAGGGACTGCTGGGCAGGGCCAGGAGCCAAGGAGTGTGGCCTTGGAGGCTGCAGAGGCAGAGGCCCATGGCCCCTAGAGTCTTCGGAAGAAATACAGGTCAGCAGACACCGTGATGTTAGCCTCGTGACCCCATGGCCCTGTGACCTGCAGAACTGTCCTGAGAGACCGTACATTTTGTTGTTTTAAGCACCAAATTTGAACTTATGTAGCAAAACTTAAAGGTCCTGGCACCGCTCTGTGCCCCAGAACCCCAACGTTGGCACTTTATCCCCTTGCTCCCACTGACCACACATGCTCAGACCAGAGCTTCAGGCAGCAGGAGTTGGGGGGAGGCAGGGACCCACTTTCTCCTGCAGACGCTGAGCTGTGGGATCTCTGCTCCGGGCTGGCCCAGCCCCAGAGGCCTGTGGGAGCCTCAGTGGACGTTTCCTGGGGCCAGCCCAGCTCTCTGCCTGTTTGGAGAGCGGGAGGGAGGTGTCTGAGGGCAGAGGGTCACTTTCTGGGGGTAGAGCTCATCCCAGACAGTATATGGGCTCTCAGAAGCGTCAGGCTGGGCTTCAAGCTGCTCGCCACTGTTTTGCCTCCTCTTTGGTTTGTTTCTGAAACGGGTACTATGGCTGAGCCCAGGCTCCGGCATTCGCACCGTCCCGCGTGGCCTTCCTGGTGGCCTGAGTGGCCTGTGAGTTCCTGTGAGGCCAGCAGAGCTGCCAGGAGCGCCCTTCCAGCCATGAGGACGCGGTGCTGGCAGGAATGGGACTTCGGCCTGGTTTCCAGCCCTGACGGCTGCCTGATGGCCACCAGGCCCACCGCCCCCGCCAGGCCCTCTCAGGGTGCCGCCCCTGCAGGCTCAGGCACTTGGTGGCCAGGGGGGCGATGCTCCATCTCACCGGAGGGATTGGCTTAAGCCAGCCCCGCCCCGCGTGGCTCACACTTCGGAGAGAAAGGCATCTTTCTGGGTAGAGGCCGAGGGAAACATCCTGACAGGCTGGTGCATCTCAGACTCAGATCTGGGGGCCGGCCTCCGTCAGAGGCACCACTCGGCTCAGACCCGCTGTTTAGTGGGCACAGGACCCATCAGCGTACGTAGGCTTCATGCTACCACGCTCTCCCCCCACCTCAGGGGTCTGAGGGGCTGCTTCGGACGTGGGTCCCCAGTGGCTGGCCCTGGGCCCCCTGACTCATGTGGGGGTGCTGCCATTAGCCAACTCCAGGAGTGGATTTTGCTCATTTCACAATTTATGTCCCAACGTTACACTGGTCTACGCTGGGAGGACTCTGTCCCCTGGCACGTAACAGACACTCAGCAAACATTTGCTCACTGGATGACATTGGCACACTGAAGGAAGGGTCACAGGACAACAAAGGGTCATCTGAAGGAACCCTGGGGGGGGGGGGGGGTGGCTCAGGAAGCTCCGAGCATCAGCCCGGATATGAACCGTCTGAACGGCTAACCTGAGAACACGGGGGTCAGGATGGGGCCTGAGCAGGGGAGGGTGCCCTGGCCAATTGTTTCTATTTGGCAATCTTTTTGGTGACAGAGCCCCAATGTAACTTGCATTTGGCTGGTTACAATGCCCTGCCCAATGCCCAGGGCAGGACATTGTAACCAGCCAAATGCAAGATTCTCTCCGTCCCGCTGCCTCGCGAAGGTGGTGACAGACTTTACCTGGGACCAGCAGGAGGGAGGGCTGGCTCAAAAAGTGGTGCCAAGCCCTGGCCAGGTGGCTCAGTCGTTGGAGCATCATCCCTTGCACCGCAAGGTTGCAGGTTTGAGTCCCAGTCAGGGCACAGGTCCGGGTTGTGGGCTGGATCCCGGGTCCGGGCATCTACCGGAAGCCGCTGATGTTCCTCTCACATGGATGTGTTTCTCTCTCTCTCTCTCTCTCTCTCTCTCTCTCTCTCTCTCTCTCTCTCTCTCTCTCTCTCTCTTCTTCTCTCTCTGAAATCAATAAAAGAACCACATCCTTGGATGAGGATTTAAAACAGTTTGTGAGATGCTGGAAGGCATCTGAGGAAGCGCCTGGTTTCAGACACCTGCCCAGCTTCCTGCGGGCGTGTGGCCAGGTCCGGTGTTTCAGGAAGACCCCTCTGGAGGCTTTCTGTTCCAGCTGGCCCCACTGCAACTTCCTGGTCTGCCAGGGACTTCAACGCCTCCCGCCTCAGTACCTTCTTCGCCACCTTCAGCCGGCGGGGCCTTGCCGGATGCTGCCAGCTCTGGCGAGTCCAGGTGTGTGTGGGGGGGAGTGGCGGTGGGGAGATGGCAGGGAAAGTCCCATGCTGCCCTAACCCTGGGTAGCTGGGCCACATCCTAACGGCTTGGCCTGGAGGCCCCAGCTTTTGAGGCCCTTAACCTCTCAAGGGATGTTCTCCACCCGATTCAGCAAACCCCAGGCGCAGGCAGATTCTCTGCCCCCACCGCCTGCCGCTCCCCACTAGACTGAACCGTCAGGCAAACAGCATGTCACACGAGCTGGCGACTGGCTTTATTTTCACAGCGTCCGTGGCCCGGGCAGTCACTGAGCCGGGAGCGCCACTGATGGTCTTACTGCAACTGGGGCCCGGAGCTTTTTAAATCCTTTTTCAGTTCAACAGAAACGAGAAAGAAAAAATACTTCTGACATTTCCCAAGAACAGAATTAAGAAAGTATATTAATATACATTCAACATATACTGCGCATATTGGTTACAATACAAAGCAATGATTTCTGAAAGTCTAGTTCGCAAGATGGCACGATGGGCAGGCTCACTGGCTTCCGTCTGCAGGGGCTCCGCTCTCGGTCAACCCAGTTCCCACCAGGTCGGGAGCAGTCGAGCAGTGGAGTTCCAGGAGCCGAGGAGCCAAGCGTTAGCAGTCAGGGCCTCCTGCTGGCCTCCTGCTGGTGGAGGTGGAGGGTGGCGGGATCAGGGGGACAGGGGACCCATCCCGAGAAAAGCGCTGGCACTGCCGAGTCCAGGGGGCAGGGCCAGTGAGGACCAGCAGCACGGATCCTGTCGGAACCCTGGACGGCCAAGCCGGGCACCCGCTTTCTTCTGTGCAAATTCAGGGTGAAAGACTAGGAGGGGACTGGGGACCCTACTGTCCTTTTCCAGAAAAAAAG